CATATAGAGCAAATACTTTGTCTTCTTAGCCATGTATACTACCATGTATATGTATAAGAATTCCTCACCAATAGGAAGACAGTGTTGCTAAATTTTTATTTTATTATTTTTCGTTTTAATTTCAGTATCATTAACATACAGTGTTATCTTAGTTTCAGGTGTACTATAGTGATTCAACAATTTTATACATTACTCAAGGCTCATAAGTGCACTCTTAATCCCCTTCACCTAGTTTGCTTATCCCCCTGCCCAGTTCCCCTCTGGTAACCATCAGTTATATATCTGTATATATACCATCAGTAACCACCTGAACTATATATAGACTCTATAGTTCAGAGTCTGTTTCTTGGTTTCTCTCTCTCTCTCTCTTCTTCCCCTTTGTTCATTTGTTTCTTAAATTCCACTTAAGAGTGAAATCATATGGTATTTGTGTTTCTCTGACTACATTTCTCTTGTTATTATACTCTCTAGATCCATCCATGTTGCTGCAAGTGGCAAGATTTTATTCTTTTAATATTTTTTAACATTTATTTATATTTTGAGAGACAGAGGCAGTGTGATTGGGGGAAGGATGGAGAGAGAGGGAGATACAGAATCCAAAGCAGGCTCCTGGCTCCCAGCTGTTGGCACAGAGCCCAATGTGGGGTTCAAACTCATGAACCATGAGATCATGACCTGAGCAGAAGTCAGATGCTTAACCCACTGAGCCACCCAGGCACCCCAATTTTGTTCTTTTTTATGGCTGAGTAATATTCCCTTTTAAAGTTTTTAAAAAGTAATTTATTTATTTTTTAGGTTTATATCCAAGTTAGTATATAGTGCAACAATGATTTCAGGAGTAGATTCCTTAATGCCCCTTACCCATTTAGTCCATCCCCCCTCCCACAACCCATCCAACAACCCACTGTTTGTTCTGTATATTTAAGAGTCTCTTATCTTTTGTCCCCCTCCCTGTTTTTATATTATTTTTGCTTCCCTTCCCTTATGTTCATCTGTTTTGTATCTTTTTTTTTTTAATATATTTTTATTTATTTCTAGGAGAGAGAGAGAGACAGACAGCGTAAGCAGGGGAGGGTCAGAGAGAGAGGAAGACACAGACTCCGAAATAGGCTCCAGGCTCTGAGCTGGCAGTCAGCACAGAGCCCGACGCGGGGCTCGAACCCACGAACCGCGAGATCATGACCTAAGCGAAAGTTGGACGCTTAACCGACTAAGCCACCCAGGTGCCCCTCATCTGTTTTGTATCTTAAATTCCTCATATTAGTGAACTCATATGATATTTGTCTTTCTCTGATTGACTAATTTCACTTAGCATAATATCCTCCAGTTCCATTCACATAGTTGCAAATGGCAAGATTTCATTCTTTTTGATTGCCGAGTAATACTCCATTGTATACATATACCACATCTTCTTTATCTATTCATCCATCGATGGACATTTGGGCTCTTTCCATACTTTGGCTATTGTCAATAGTGTTGCTATAAATATTGGGGTGCGTGTGCCCCTTCAAAACAGCATACCTGTATCTCTTGGATAAATACCTAGTAGTACAATTGCTGGGTCATAGGGTAGATCTATTTTTTATTTTTTGAGGAACCTCCATACTGTTTTCCAGAGTGGCTGCACCAATTTGCATTCCTACCAGCCGTGCAAAAGAGGTCCTTTTTCTTGGCATCCTTGCCAACATCTGTTGCTGTCTGAATTGTTAATGTCAGCCATTCTGACAGGAGTAAGGTGGTATCTCGTTGTGGTTTTGATTTGTATTTCCCTGATGATGAGTGATGTTGAGCATTTTTTCATGCTTCTGTGAGTCATCTGGATGTCTTCTTTGGAGAAGTGTCTATTCGTGTCTTTTGCCCATTTCTTCACTGAATTGTTTTTTGGATGTTGAGTTTAAGAAGTTGTTTATAGATTTTGGATACTAACCCTTTATCTACTATGTCATTTGCAAATATCTTCTCCCATTTCACTGGTTGACTTTTAGTTTTGCTGATTGTTTCCTTCACTGTGCAGAAGTTTTTATTTTGATGAGGTCCCAATAGCTCATTTTTGCCTTTGCTTCCCTTGCCTCTGGAGCCATGTTGAGTAAGAAGTCGCTGAGGCTGAGGTCAAAGAGGTTTTTGCCTGCTTTCTCCTCTAGGATTTTTTTTAATTAAAAAAAATTTTTTTTAATGTTTATTTATTTGAGAGAGAGAGAGAGACAAACAGACAGAGCATGAGCAGGGAAGGAGCAGAGAGAGAGGGAGACACGGGATCTGAAGCATGCTCCATGCTCTGAGATGTCAGCACAGATCCTGGCACAGGGCTTAAACTCACAGACCAGGAGATCATGACCTGAGCGGGTTAACTGATTGAGCCACCCAGGGGCCCCCAGACTTCTTTTATGATAGGATCAGACGGAGTGATGTTGTTCAGTGAAATGTTAAGACTTAGATGCCAAAGCAGCTGTAAATATCAGCTACGTGCTAATGTCTCTCAAATTTGTTTTTCCAAAGAAAAACCTTTTCTGAACTCAAAATTATCCCAGACTTGACCTATGGGAGTGATCTATACTTTTTTTTTTCTGACAGATACATAGAGTTTACAATGTCTTACTGTTTTGAAACACAGTGAAACTATTGTGTTGCCACACACACAATCCCACCTGCAGGGCCTTTGCACTTGTTCTTTCCTACACTTAAAATCTCCCCCAGCTCCCTCCCTTATCTTCTCTATGAGCTTATTGCTATATTTAAAATTGCAGCTTTCCTCATCACTTCCTGTCTGCTTCCCTGTTTTTCTCCCCCTCCCTCTGACTATGACCATCTGACACACTACATATATTTTGCTTATTTGCCTTCTTCATTTTCAGGCCCACCCCTACTCCATGATGGAATACAAGCTTCACAAGGACAGAGGTTTCATTTTGCTCACTGCTGCTTCCCCAGAGTTTAGAACTGTGCCTGGCACATAGAATGGATTCAACTAACATTTATGAAATGAAGAGAATGAGTGTTACCATGGACATTTTCCTACATCTTTGTGTGATTCTCCAACTTCAATACTCAGACAAATTTTTTTAATTTTTTTTTTTTTTTGAGAGAGAGGGTGAGAGGGAGAACACATGGGGGAGGAGCAGAGAGAGAAGGAGAGAGAGAAAATCCCAAGCAGGCTCCATGTTGTCAGTGTAGAGTGCTATGCAGGGTTTGAACTCACAAACCTTGAGATCATGACTCTGAGATCAGAACCATGAGATCATGACCTGAGCCAAAATCAAGAGTCAGACGCTTAACTGACTGAGCCACCCACGCACCCCATTTCAATAGTTTTTAGTTTTTGTGATGTTTGTTTATTTATTTTTAAGAGAGACAGAGTGCGAGCAGGGTGGGGTAGAAGAGAGGGAGACACAGAATACAAAGGCTCCAGGCTCTGAGCTGTCAGCACAGAGCCTGAAGCAGGGCTTGAACTCTGTGAATCACGAGATCATGACCTGAGCCAAAGTCAGCTGCTTATCAGACTGAGCCCCCCAGGTGCCCCTCAATAGTTTTAAAAGTTAATCATTTCAGTTAACTGACAAATGACAAGATATTGCTATTTCATGATAATCTTTTTTCCTTTGTTCTTTTTAAATATTCTTTCTTTTTTGTTCTTTATGGAGATCAAGTTATGAGTCAAGCTCTCCCAACATACTTTTCATCTAAGTCCTAGGAGTTTGTTTCTGACAAGGTATTAATAATTAGGTGTTTTGAAACATTGAGAAGAGTCCATTTTTGCAGATAAGATTTATTCCAAATGCCACATTTTTAATTTTCACCAAGTAACGTATTTATCTGACTGTAACCCCATTAGTTTGCTCGGCTTGCCAACCCATAATGTGTGTTCTTCCAGGGCAAGAGGCAAATTTTATTCATCTCTGTATACCTATATCCTGGCTCACGAATAAATTTGAATGAACCAATCAGTGAGAAAGGTTGAAAGTTTAGGAATCTGTCTCAAAAGAACAATCTGGTTATGCATATTAAAGCAAGTATAACAAGAATAAACATTATGTGCAGCATGGGGGTAGAATGGTGTTGAAGGCAATGACAGAATGAGTCTTTCTCTACAGTTGAAGTTTTGACCTGGGAGGAAGGATAGTTCCATGAACAGCATTTTTCATACCATGGTGAGCCCATGAAAGATCTGGATTCCTTGTCTGTGTAATGATTGACTGTTGGAAGAAGCAACAGCCATCCAACATTTAGGGAGAAATTCCAACGCCCCAGTGAGTTTTAATTTTGTCATAATGCCACTGGTTTTTCCTTTTAATGCTAAAAGCTTACTTCTTCTGGTGCCTTCAATTTTTCATTCATCAAGTGAATATGACCACCCACAACGTACAAGGCCAAATAGCTAACGAAAATGTTATGACAATCTCTGCAGACATCAAGTGTTGAGTCAAGGAAACACAACTGTCCTCTGGCCTCTTTGGTGTTGAGGGCAGTTTACCATTGTCTGCAACCCACCACCCATTGCTCAGTTGTGTCATCCCTGATCTGGCACACCCTTGATCTATATATAAACATTCAATTTAGAAACCCTAAAATTTTCTCTCAGCTCGAGTCCCTCTGAAAACAGATAATGACAAGAAAACCTTAACACCTTTCTCCCTGTCCTTTGACCTAAAAAAAAAAAAAAAAAAAAAAAAGGTGTTACGAGAGAGGAGGGCTAAGGGGAGGGGTAAGGGTCGAGAGGGGAGTCCAGCTCCAGTTTGGGGAAATCCAGCTCGCGTTTTGACTCTCGCTCAGCGGTGCAGGGTCCAGCAAAGGCAGAGCCCCCGCTTCACTCCCTGAGGTCTGTCCTGGGGAGACACTACTGCTCCGGGGGGGGGCTGACCTGGCGGGGAGTGGCAGCGCAATCCGCTCCCGCACCGCTTTGTGAGCGCAGCCGCCGGGCCCTCAGCTCCCGGATCTGCCCCCTGGGACAGCCCCCTGCCCCGCCCCAGTCATGCAACCCTACCTGCCTCTCCTCAGCGGACCTTTGGAAAGCTGCCGCCCACCCCGGGGTCTCGGGCCCTGACCCTGCCAGGCAGCCGGTAGGTGTCCGCCCGGGGCCCGCTCGCGCCCCTCGTGCCCGCCGGGGCCCTGGGCTCTCAAGTTGTGGGGACCGGCGCGAGTTGGAAAGTTTCCCCGAGGGCTGGTGCGGGCTCGGAGCCGGGGGCACGCGCGCTGCCCTCGGAGCCGGAGCGGGCCAGTGGTGAGCTGGGGCCGGGGCAGAGGGCAGGGTTTCGGGGACCCTCACGCCGAGGCCGGAAGGGGGTGCGAGGGGCGGTACTCGGCCGGGGCTGAGTGAGGGCCGGAGCTCGGCGTCCGCGCGTCCTCCGGGTCCGCTGCGGTGGGCCCGCTCCCCGCGGCGACCCCCTGCCCCGAGCCGCTCGGGGCGCTTTTGTTGCGGGTGGTAAACAATGCTCGTGGCCGGAGGACGCGGCCGCCAGCCCCCGAGGCCCAGCGGCGCTGGGTGGGGGGGAGCGGGGGCGGGGGCTCCGCGGGCTCGGACCTCAGGCGCCGCTGCAAACCGAGCCTGGGGGAGGGCAAGTGTGCCCGCGGGGATCCCTGAAAGTGCCGGAGACCGAGGCGCCTCGTAGGGGACTCGGAGGTCTGGCTCCTTAAGGTGAGAAGGCAGAGTTAGGGCAAGTTGCGGGTGGGGGAACCCGTCCCGGCGCACAGTCAAGCGCACCCCCAAACAGTGTTTCTCCCCCCACCCCCGTGCTTGTGTAGGGGACAGATTCGTTGGGAAACTGTTGGCACTTCCCTCCCGGAGCATTTCGGGGAAGGAACTTCATGGATGAAACTTTATAGAGTCTGACCCGAGGTGACCTGGAGTTAACACCGGTCCGGGAAGTAGGGAATAGGGAGTAGAATTCGTGTTCTGTCAAAATGGCTTTTGAAAACCTCCTTTGGGCGCCCCCGGGATGCGGAGCGCGCTGGCGCTGCCGTCGCGTCAGTCCCAGCGGCGGGATCCGGGAGCTGGCCCTGGGGGTGGGAGGTGCGCAGAGCTGGGGCCGCCGACCCGCGTCGCCGCCCGGGCGGGGCCGGTCCCGGCCAAGGCCGCAGGCACTTCACGTGTGGTGGAGGGACGGGGCTAGACGTCTCTCCCCCCATCTCCCCTCCTCCTCCCTTCCCGGGCCTCCTCATCCACCTCCCTCAGCTGATAGAGCTTCTGGAAGGGCTATATGCAGTCCACTAAAAGTGGTCAGGGAGTTACCGACCAGCCCCAGTAGCTTTCCACGTGAATGGGGAACACAAATGGTGCATTTCTGGCCCAATAAAAATGAATATATCACCAAGAGAACACATATTGCTTGGACAAGGAGTCTTTCCCCCGCCCCCAATTCATTTTCCCAAATTAACCATTTTATATAAGTCTTTCCTGTGCCACTTCTCCCCGGTTCCACTGTCGGGCACCAAATGAGCTGCAGAATACATAATGGTAATCGCTTATGAAGAATAAAGGCTAAGTGCCTTGAGACTTGAGAGAGTTAAAGATAAGGTGCACAGTCTAGTGTCCGCCGAGTGCGCTGCGCACCGCACCCTCTTGGGTTGAAGGGCGGCGCTGTAGGGCAGCCTCAGGTCGGCCCTGAACCGAAATGTGCTCACCTTCCCCTCTCCTGCCCCTCCGACGAGATGAAGTAAAATAAAGACGATGGATTCTTTAGGCCCAGGATGCCAAATATATATGTATTATGCTTGACATATTTGGCGCTTGTTAACCGGTTAGGGCAAGAATTATTTAGAGCAGAGCAGAAATGTATGACTACAATTAAAAGGTGGAACACGCAGATAGGTATAGAGATAAGGAGATGTTTGGAGATGAGTCCCTATTAGTTCCAAGAACTAAAAGACTTCGGCACTGCGACTTGGGGTGTGTTTCCTGACTTTATCCGTTTTGGGTTACACTTCCCTCCCCAAGTAAGGGATCTTAAATAGGTTGGTTGTCAGCCTCTGACAGTGTTTAAAGGCTTGTTACGATTTCAGTTAAACTTCAGGATCAAGATATTCTGGAGTTATTAGTATACACTGTCCCTTTCTCTTTGCACAGATTAATAGCTCAGATTTACAACTGTGCGACCATCGCTTACCATTATAATGGTAAGAGTTAACTCTGGCACTCAGCTCTGGTTTTCCAGAATTGATGGGTCTGAGGTTTGGATCACCACTGTTTCTGCTTTGTTTCTCTTCCCTCTCCAATCTTCTTTATCTGGTTTGTCCATCCCCTCCCCCACTCTTTCTTTACATCTATCTTTCCCTGCACACTTAAATTTCTTTCTTCTCACTCTAGGTCTTTCTACCTTCAGTCTTCAGCATTTTGATCCTGGTTATCTTTTTTACATACTAGTTTTATTACTATAAATTTACCTTACTTTTTTGCCCCCTCCCCTTTCCCCTTTAGACATTTTCTTCCTTTTTAATGCCTTTTACTATTCCCAATGTGTTTTATACTTTTCTTGTTTTTTGGAAGAATCATTCCATCTCCATTTTAACTTCTCCCTTCCCTTTTCTGTGGCTCTCTTAGGCCTTTTTTTCTTGCTCTCTGCAGGGCAGCAGGGGTGTTTTACATATGGAAGGAGCCTTTGACTAAATCTGCTGGCATTCTAGTGAGTTTCCTTGAACAGCCTTTCCTTGTGCAGAGGGCTCTCACACTTCCTGTGGTAGAAGACTATCTAGGAACTGCAAGCAGCCCGCCCACCTCCTCTTCCTTTAGATGTAGAACTTGGTTGCTAGAGGAAACTAAGTCAGGTGGTGCCTTTTAAAAGAAATGTTTTAAGTCTTGTATTTCTCAGTCAAGTGCAGTAGACTTTAAATTCTAAGGAGCTGAATGGAGTGACTCTGAAATCAGAGCTTGTTTTGCCTCTAGCCATGTGAATGCAAATACTCACCACTTTTTTGGCCACTGCTGGTGGTGGGAAGGGTTGCAATATAATTTTAAATTGACATGCGGGCTGGATGATTACATCAGTTCAGCCACTTCCTGCCCAGGGGACTTTGGGAGATCCAGAAGAAGGGGGGGGGGGTGTGTAGGTGGGTGAGGATTTTCTGACGTGGTGCTGTCAATATTGTCCTTTACTGAACTGATACAGTTAAGGAAGTCAGCTTTTTATTTTCTAGACCAGGGAATTACTTCAATAATTATAAAAAAGGCCCTCTGTAGGGAAAGATTGAGTACTTATTAGTACGCTCAAATAATATTGAGGAAAATAGCTGATCCTCAGTTTGGTTAGGTTAAGTTTAAATTAAATTAACTTGTGAATAATTAGTCAATCCTTACACAGGCAATGTTTATTGCCTGCTCCAGCAACTTCCCTCTGTCTTTAACCTTACACTCTCTACTTTATGTTGGCATCATGTCCTTCCATGTTTCAAATTATGTGTTGGTCTCTTGGATCTCCTGCTCCAGCCCCCTACATCACAAGGATATTCTAGGAAAAATAATTCTTATTTGTGGTGTCCTCTGGTGAAAAGATCTGTTAACTAATGTTTTACATCCCACAATTGTTGAGGTTTTGTTTATTCGTTTGTTTCATTGTGTTTTCCAGGAAAATAAGAACCCACAGAATAGTATCAGTTGCAAATAATTAGGGCCTATGATCAGTATTTAATAACAGGGACACTATTCTCTTATTATCTACTCTGATCATGTTAGCCTATAGCGATCTCTGTAGCACTCAGACTCTTGAATATTTTCTAGGGTAGAATAAAACTGATTTTGAGAAATATTGAAATGTCAGTTTTCATCAGAAATGAAAAATGTAAGTGGAATTAGATTTTGGTTGTAAATATACCTTTTTGTAGGACTTAAGTACTCTATAATAAATAAAAGTACCAAAAAAAGGGGAAATGGAGCATTTACTAATGTGTACAGGTTAACAAGGAAAATAAGTTTCAGGAGATCTGTGGGGATAACTCCATATTTAAATAGGAACCTATTTTATAGAACGGACTGCATTGTTTTTTCCCCTCACAAATTTAAAAAAAAAAAAAAAAAAGCTTGCTACCTCTCCTCCCAGAGTTCAGCCCTGGGGATAACTTAGTTTATCACAAAAGAAGGTCACATTTCATCAGTGGAGCCTTGGGTGATAAAATTAGGATCTTGTGGGAGCCCTTATTTTGTTTCTGATTGTCTATTTCTTTGGCTGGGTGGTACCCAGTGGTTTCTCCCCTGCAGTTGGGTTTTTCAGGGGTCATTGGCCTCTTTCACAATCTCATAAAAAGGCTGTTACCATTTAAAGAGGCCACATCTTCCCAATCCATGTTGCTCATACCTTTTCCATTTCCTTGGCAGGCTCTTTTTCAGGAGATAAGGTTTGAATGGTAAACATTATCTTAATTACAAGGCTGAATTTCTAAAGCACTTTAATTTAAAAATATAAAAGAATATATGAGACTGAGATCATTTTATACACTACTTTCAAAGGCAGATCCCATGACACCTTCTGGTATATCCAGATTACTTGCCTACACATGTGGGTTTTAATTTTTGTGGTTGATTGCAATACCTAGATTACATACTGCTAATAATTTTTTAGAAATGTAATCTTGATGCAAGAGATAATGCAAGCTTATACCGATATTGAATTTCTAAAGAATGGAAAGGATTGCTCTTTGCTATCTGAAAAAACATCCTTATAAAGACTGCTGACTTTCTGGAGATTAGAATTGGAATGTCTTTTGTTTTCTAAAAATATTGGTACAAAAAACAGTGGTCTTTGGAGAAAATATCCGAGAATTTTTCACAGCCAAAAAGTTAGTGCAAGCCAACCCCCTCCCCCCCTTTTTTTTTTTAAAGAGGGAAAGCAGTAAGCTTAGATGTCAAGAACTCCAGTATTCAGTATTCTCTGGTCTAGTGTTTGTATTTAGCACACATTTATCAAACTTATTTTTCTTGTAGTTAATGTTATCACTAATGCCCATTTTAAAAGTCTGTCTTGAGTAGGGGGGGTAGGGCACCTGAGTGGCTCAGTTGGCCAACTTTAGCTGAGGTCATCATCTCTCAGTTTGTGAGTTTGAGCCCAGAGCCCCTCGTGGGCTCTGCACTAATGGCTTTGAGACTGTTTCGGACTTTCTGTCTCCCTCTCTCTCTGCCTCTCTCACTCATGCTCACTTGATATCTGTCTCTCAAAAATAAATAAATAAATATTTAAAACAAAATAATTAAAAAGTCTGTCTTGGGGGAAAAATAAAAAAAATAAAAAAAATCTGTCGTGGGGTGCCTGGCTGGCTCAGTTGGTGGAGCTTCCGACTCTTGATCTCAAGGTTATGAGTTTGAGCCCCACATTGGGTGTAGAGATTATTTAAAAATAAAATCTTTAAAAAATAAATAAGAAGGCTATCTTTATTTTTTAAAGTTACTTATTTATTTTGAGAGAGAAAGGAAGGGAGAGAGAGAGTAAAAACAGCACAATGCTTTTACTCTAACTCAGTGTGTGCTCTGGGGACTTTTATAGCGTGTGTAGCTTACTTTTATTATAATGTGTTAGGTGATAACAGAAACAAAAGAACTAAATCTTGTTTTGCAGGGTATGGCAGACTGCGGGATAAACTGATTCTATGATAACCATTTAGCTTCTTTTCTCTTTTATTTTGTATTTTGGAGTTAATACTCAACCTTTCTTTTCTTTTTTAGCTCCCATTTATTATTAAACACCTAATTATATGCCAGCACTATGCTAAGTGTTTACACATGTCATCTCATTTTATTCTCATGGTAACCCAGTGAGGTCAGTACTATTATGCTTCCTATTCTATTACACATGAGGAAACTGAGGTATAGAGAGACTGAGGAATTTCTCAGAATCACATGGCTAGTAACGTTTCTGAGCTGGAAACTGAACCCAAGTCTGCTTACTTTCAAAGGCCTTCCCCTACCTTCCTGCTCCCTCCTCCACCACACATAGGCTTTCCTTTTAGGAGCCCAATGATACCTCAAAACGACCTCAGTTCAGATGTAGAAACCTTGACTCGGTTAAATAGTTTGTGGAAGGACACAGTGGGTGATCACAGATTCAAACTCACTGCTTCTGTCCAGCATCTGTCACACTGGATCAGATCAGTGCAACAAAAGCAAATGCACAACTTGAGAATGATAGAGGGCTGTCAAGTTTTTACTTGGCCAAGTAATAACATTATAAAATAAACCCATCCCCACTCTTTCAAAAAAAGAAAGGACTTTTATTACTTTTTTTTTTTAAAGAAAAGACATTTAAATGAGAGAAAACAGGAAGGCATTTCAAAGTAAAGAAGAGTTGTTTAAAATGGGCAAATTCAACTTTATGAAAAAAATCTTTAGACTGCCTCCCCCCCCCCCCCCCCCCCCCCCCCCCCCGATTTTGCCACTTGATTACAGACCAGGTTTTGGTAACTATTCTCCTACAACATACTTACAAATCCAACAACCTGTTAACTGTTAAAGAATCCTCACCAACTCAGCTGTCCCACTCTTGATTCTGATCTTTCAGGAGTATATTGATATATCTTATATGGTGAGCTTCATCCTTGTTCAGTTTGGTCTTATTTTAGGTTAGGGTAAGCAATCAAAGGAGACCAAAAGACAATTAGTGATAGTTCTTAGTCAGACCCCTTTCATTTTCTCCTTTTTCTTGCTTACCTTTCAAATAATAGTTGCTTGCCTAGTATGCTTTACTGTTCTAATTATCTCATTTTCTCTTTATTTCCAATTTCCTTGCCTAGGCATTCATCATGAGAATTTTGGGATCCTTGGTAGAAGGGATTTTAGAACCAGCAGTCTTTGGATTAAGTCGGGTGAAAGAGAAAAGAGGGACATCATTTCTGGGTTTGGGCAGTGCCCACCACAATGCCTTCCTTACACATAGTAGGTACTCAACAGATATTTGTTGGACCCGTGAGTCTTATCTGTAACCTAATCTGTCAATACTAACTCCTAAGGTTTTATGCCATTTTTGTGTGCATGTGTAAAGCTCAAAATTTGTAGATTATTAATTGGAATGTGGTATTAATATTCTTGGATCTCCAAGTAGAGTTTCTTGAATTATATAAACCTCTTTTTCTTCTAGTTTTACCATGATACTTCTACCTGTGTGGTGATATGCTGAGGAAAAAGATTAATAGATAATTTTTTAAGTATCCAAAATTTGTAAAGATTGAGATTTTATCTTTAAACTACATATAACTACAACAATTGTGGTTTCTAATGTAGAATAACCCCCATGCTTACCCTATTCATAGAACTTCATAAACTAAGTCAGTTGTCACAGTAATTAAAGGAGCTTTATTTGTGAATCTAGGGTTTAAGGGATATGTTAGTATCTTTTGTGTTTATTATATATTTTTTGGCAGTAAACATTCTCATTCCCTAATTTTAATTAATAATTGTTAGTATTCTATTTCAAGTGGGAAAATACACAGGAAAAAGACTCACTTTCAATGTTTTTTTTATTTCAGACCAAAATTTTGTGCGACTGAACTCAATCATGGTACATCCAGATTCTCTTCAGAGGCGAGACTTTCCAAAGGACCAATGACTCTGTTCCTTGTGCCCTTTCATTTTTTCCTACTCTGTAGCTATGTCTCGATCCCGCCATGCAAAGCCTTCCAGATTAGTCAGGAGAGAAGATCTAAACAGGAAGAAAAGCAGCCAACTGAAGAAGACATCTAAGCCAGCCAATAAAAATGTGGGATCAGTCAAGACTGTGAGCCCTGGAAAAGGATTAAAGCAATTAATTCAAGAAAGAGATGTTAAGAAAAAAATAGAACCCAAAACACCTATGCCAGTCAGAAGCCTTTTGACAAGAGCTGGAGCGGCACGAATGAATTTGGATAGGACTGAGGTTCTTTTTCAGAACCCAGAGTCCTTAACTTGCAATGGGTTTACAATGGCTCTCCGAAGCACCTCTCTTAGCAGGCGACTCTCCCAACCTCCAGTGATCATAGCCAAACCTAAGAAAATTCCACCTCCTAAGCATTTAGAAAAGCAACATGAATGTGATTATAATGTAGTTACTGACAAAGGAGTAAAACACTCAGAAAATGATTCGATTCCAACCCAAGTTCCCCTAATTGCTCCTGATATAGAGAATCTAATTGGTGTACAAAATGCATCTTTAACTAAAGGTGAGAGCCAAGAGACAACCCAGTCTTGGTCCCAAAAAGTGGAGGATTCCAAAATAAATATCTCCACTCACAGTGGCCCTGCAGTAGAGATCGCTTCTGGCTCACTGGAAGGGACATGTGGTGGTGAAGGACTACTCTCTAAAGAGACATTGACTGATACAAGTGACTCCCCTAGAATGTTTGCTCAGGACACTCTGTGTGCTCCTCTGCTCCAAAGAGCAGCCCTCAAGGTTACTTACGAAGGAAATTCCAGCATTCAGTTAGAAGATTTGGGTTCACGAGTAGAATCTCTTAAGCTATCTGATTCTTACCTGGATCCCATCAAAAGTGAACATGATTGCTACCCCACCTCCAGCTTTAATAAGGTTATACCTGAATTGGACCTTAGAAACTGTTTGTCCATTGGTGGGTCAATATATCCTACCTCATTAATAAAACTCCTCTTGGCAAGCTCGGAACAAGAAACCCTTGGTGCTAAACCGGATAATCAAGAGGTACTCAAAGCTACCCCAGATCAACAGGAAATTCCTGATACCAGCCCTGTCATAGGACAGGCTTTTAGTGCTGCCCCACATCAATGGGCAGTTCCTGGTGCTAACCCAGTACATGGAGAGGCTCTGGATGAGACCCCAGCCACACCAGAGATTCCTGGTGCTATTCCAGTCCAAGGAGAGGTCTTTGGTGCTATCCTAGACCAACAAATCCTTGGAATGGGTGGTGGTACTGCCTCAGACCCACCTATTTTTGTTCCTGCTCCACTAAACCCAATTGCTACCTATAATGTTCTCCCAGAATGGCCTGAGCCCCAGAGCACTGTTTCATATGGGCTTGAGGTCCAGGGCGCTATGCAGATTTTGCCTTTGGGCTCAGGTCACACTCCTCAGCCATCATTAAACTCAGAGATAAGTTCAGTACCTCCTGTGATGACTATAAGCAATATAGAAAATCAGAAGCAGGTTCATATAAGCTTTCTGCCAGGTAACACTCAGGCATTCACATTAGGCCCTGAGAGAGTACTCCTCCATGCTTCACAGGGCATTACCCAACTCTCCCAGGTTGGTCCCAGCAAATTGGAAGAAGGTAGCTCCCAGATCAGCATGACCAGCGTGGTTGACATCAATACCACAATGGTGTCTAGGCCAAGTTCAATTGCTAGGGCCTCCTCTTCTTCCCATACAACTTTGCTACCTACTTTGGAAAAGAAGAAACGAAAGCGGTGTGGGGTGTGTGAGCCCTGCCAGCAGAAGACCAATTGTGGTGAATGTACTTACTGCAAGAACAGAAAGAATAGCCATCAAATCTGTAAGAAGAGGAAATGTGAAGAACTGAAAAAGAAACCATCTGCCACTATGTCTTTGGAGGTGAGTAAATGTCCAAATGGGCTGGGAGATGCCTGTAAGACTCTCCTAGAGTGATCTGTGCAGAACACTTGACTTTGATAAAATGTTATATTATCTATAAGAATTTATGGATCTACCTGAAAAATGTCTTGTGCAGTCATACATTAGCTTACTTTTAGAATTTGTCTCACAAAACTAGAACATAAAGTTGTATGTTATAAGATTTGATGGAGACAGCAATTACATGGAATGTGGTTTTGCAAAGATTTTCACTTTGCCTTATTTTGGCTACTAGTGTCTCTTCTTTGGAAGTTACAGAGTTAACTTAAATTTAAAATAACAGTGGAACATTTATTAACTCCCTCCCAGGTTGAGGAACCAGAGGAATTAAACTTTTCTTTTGAAAGAATAAAATGGCGGTATCCTTAATTTTAAAAATTTGCCTTGAAGGTGAAATAGTAATAAAGCTTTCATTGCGCATTTTGGCAGGTGATTTCCACTTGCTCTACATAGCTCACATAGTTAGGATCAAATGGTCATCAGAAGTTGAACATGACGTGTAAACTCTAAAGTGATACATAAACATTAGTTCTCATTATTACAGTTGATGAGCCTAAGGTACTAAAAGTATTGGTTGGCTTAGACTTTATTTAAAGGTTTTTATGGGTGCTCGCTTTGGCAGCACATATACTAAAGGTTTTTATGGAATTTGGTTAATACTCAAACTTGCTTTTCAGAACTTTAAAACACATGCCAACTCGATTTTTTATGATTTTTAGATCACTCACTTGAAGTTATGCTTATTTTGTGTCTGCTATGAATAAGGTATAGTAGAATAGATTATTTTTAAATACTTTAATTTTAAAGTATTGTGAACTTAAGTTTAGTCAGTCTCTTCTATTTGATTCTTAAATCATCTGTCCAAAAATGCTGACTTTCTATTTGACCCATTGCAAACAAGAGATCAGACATTTAATCAATCATATATTGATGGGCATTTAAGGTGTTTCTTTAAAAATGCTTTTTTAATTTTTAAAATTAATTAATTAATTAATTAATTTTAATCCAAGTTAGTTAGCATATAGTGCAACAATGATTTCAGGAGTAGATTCCAGTGATTCATCCCCTGTGTATAACAACCAGTGCTCATCCCAACAAGTGTCTTCCTTAGGTACCTCACCCATTTAGCCCATCCCCCCTCCAGCAACCCTCTGTTTGTTCTCTATATTTAAGAATCTCTTATGTTTTGTCACCCTCCTTGTTTGTATATTATTTTTGCTTTCCTTAAAAAACTTGTATGTTGAACAATCTCTCCTTAAGTACAGTTCGAGTTTTCCTTTCTAAATCCCTGATGATTCTTTTATCTAAATACATTTAGTGCTCTTCTGTATGTGTGATAAATCTCACTCAAAACAAAACAAAACAAAACAAAACAAAACAAAAATTGTGCAAAGCTTTTGGTGCCTGCCAAGTATAGGTGAAACCTAGATTTTTAACATGAAATATAAGATCTTCAAAATCTTGACTAGCGGACCTCTGTCTTGTTTGTTGTCACTGCTTCTCATACTAATCCTGAAGTTTCAGTAGTATCCAGCTACTTGTATTTCCCCAAGCTTACCATGCATGTTCCATCTTCAGTGTCCATGCTTATGGTACACATTCTTCCTATCCCTATGTGACAAGACACCATCCATTCACTCGCCTCTCACTGTGCCACAACTATTTGTACATGTTCCCCAGGTTGTTTTTCTAGTGCCTGTCTAGACTTGGCATGGTGACAGGTGCTAAATAAAGTACATGATAAGACAATATAAAGTAGGGGCACCTGGGTGGCTCAGTCAATGAAGCATCTGACTCTTAATTTCAGTGCAGGTCATGATCTTATGGTTTGTGGGTTCCAGCTCTGAGTCAGGCTCACATCAGTCTCTGTGCTGATAGTGCAGAGATTCTCTGTCTCCCTCTCTCTCTTCCCCTCCTTCACTCATTCTCTCTCTCTCTCTCTTTCTCTCTCTCTCTCAAAAATAAATAAGCTTTAAAGAGAGAGAGAATATAAAGTATATAATTTGATAACTATGACATACGTATGACATATGTGTACACTGCAACTATTAGCAGAGTCAAATACCATCACTTCAAAAAATTTCTTTGTGCCCCTTTGTAGTCCCTAACCCCTCCCGCACCCTTTCTGTTTAGGCAAATTGTATCTTTCTGTCACTATAAAATCTTGCATTTTTTAGAATTTGATATAAATAGAATCATACAGTATGTACTCTTTTTTTGGGGGGGGTGTCATAGGGCAGTTCCTCAGAATTTGTCTTTTATGATGCCACTTTTACAAAGTGCAGATCACTTATTTTGTCTTTCAATTTGAGTCTGTTTAATGTTTCCTCATGATGAGGTTTGGGTTATACATATTTGTAGGAATACCTTCTTATCAGGTGGGACATATGTCAGTTTGTCCCACTATTATGATCTTACCTTTTTAAAGATTTATTTCTTTTGAGAGACAGAGAGAGATAGACAATGAGTGGAGAAGGGCAGAGAGAGAGAAAGACACTGAGGATCCAAAGCAGGTTCTGCACTGACAGCAGGACTGTGATACAGGGCTCGAACTCACAAACCCTGAGATCAAGACCTGAGCTGAAGTCAGACGCTTAACCTACTGGGCCATCCAGACACTCCTATGATCTTAATTTTGATTTCTTGGTTAAGATAATATCTTCCAGAATTCTCCATTGTAAAGTCAGTATTTTTCACTTTATACTTAATGAATATCTTATAGGGAGACTGAGACTTTGTAAATATCCTGCAATCCCTCAAACTTACTCTCTAGTTTTGCATTTATTAGCGAGTTTTGCCTGATGTCTGCCAAACGGTGATTCGGTTTCCATCGTTTCTTCTAAATTTTAAAGCTTAGCTTTAAACTCTAAGGAAGAGATTTTCCTCCTTTTTTTTTTTTAAAGATTTTTATTTATTTATTTATTTTAAAAAATGTTTTTATTTATTTCTAGGAGAGAGAGAGAGACAGCATGAGCAGGGGAGGGTCAGAGAGAGAGGGAGATACAGACTCTGAAATAGGCTCCAGGCTCTGAGCTGGCAGTCAGCACAGAGCCCGACGTGGGGCTCGAACCCACGAACCACGAGATCATGACCTAAGCGAAAGTCGGACGCTTAACCGACTAAGCACCCAGGCGCCCCTAAAGATTTTTATTTTTAAGTAATCTCTACACTTATGAGCCTCAACCTTGCAACCCTGAGGTCAAGAGTCGCATGCTCTACTGACTGAGCCAGCCAGGTGCCCCTATTTTGTTTATATTCTTTAAAAACACATTTTTTAAAATGTTTTATTTTCAGAGAGAGAGGGAGAGAGAGAATTCCAGTCAGGCTCTGTGCTGTCAGTGCAGAGTCTGACAGGGAGCTGGATCCCCTGAACCATGAGATCATGACGTGAACAGAAACCAACAGTCTGACGGTCAACCAGCTGAGCCACCCATACACCCCTGTTTATATTCTATTTTACATTTCCCCCTATACTTGCTACTCATATTTTCTTGCTCTCCCTCTCCCCCAAAAGATGACTTTTATCACTGACAAAGCTGATCCTGAAGAATGTATTATGTTGTCCTTACACTGAACTCCCGCAGTAGATAGGTCTACCCATCCAAAAGTGCTGGAGAGGCAGAGGAGAACACAGAGAGCACTTCTCTGAGGGAAGTTCATTCTGAGGGAACAAACAACAGTTGTAAACTCTTGTTTCTGGTTTCTTTACTTATTATTCACTAATGTTACCTATAGTTCTTGCAGTATGGTGTTCCATCGTATGTTTGTTTATATCATAGTACATTCATCCATTCTACTCTTTTAAAAAAATTTTTTTTAATGTTTTATTTATTTCTGAGAGAGAGAGAGAGTGAGTGAGTGAGCAGGGAAGGGTCAGAGAGAGAGGGAGACACAGAATCCGAAACAGCCTCCAGGCTCTGAGCTAGCTGTCAGCACAGAGCCCAACGCAGGGCTCAAACCCACAAACCATGAGATCATGACCTGAGCTGAAGTTGGACGCTTAACCGACTGAGCCACCCAGGTGCCCCTCATCCATTCTACTCTTAATGAACAGTACTGTTACTGTACACATTATCGTAAACGTCTTTTGGTGAATACATGTGTGCATTCTATTATATATTCCTAGGAATGGAATTGCTGGGTCATAGAATATGCATATGTTTAGCTTTTGTTGTTCCAATTAAGACTATCAGTCATGTTTGAGAGTTCTACTTGCTCCACATCTTTGTCAACATTTGCTATTTTCTGTCTTGTTTTACTTTAATCATTTTGCTGGGTGTGTAATGGCATCACTACATAGTATTTATTTTCTTGATAACTAATGAAATTGAGGTACTTATTATTCACTTCTTAGCCATTTAGATATTGTCTTTGTCCATCTTTAATTGGTTTTTCTGCCTTTTCATATTGGTTTATAAGAGTTTATAATGTCTTTTAAGTTTATTTAAGAATATTATGTTTAAAAAAAATTTTAAGTTTATTCATTTATTTTGAAAGAGAGAGAGCATGTGCAAAAGTGGTGGAGGGGCAGGGAAAAGGAGAGACAGAATCCCAAGCAGGCTCTGCAGCTTCAGTGCAGAGCCCTTTGGGGGGCTGGAGTTTGTGAACCATGAGATCATGACCTGAGCAGTGATCAAGAGTTGGAGGATGTAACCTACTGTGCCATGCAGGCACCCCCATTACGTTTTACTGATAAAAATTTTCTTTTTTTTTTTGTTTTAAAAATATTTTTATTTTTGGGAGAGTGCAATCGGGAGGAGCAGAGAGAGGTGAACAGAGGATCTTAAGCATGCTCTACACTGATAGGCTGACAGCAGTGAGCCTGATGTGGGGCTCGAATTTACCAACAAACCGTGAGATCATATCAGATGCTCAGCCCACTGAGCTACCCAGGCACCCTATCATGCATTTTAATGAATATTTTTTGTTTATTTAAAAAAGTTTTTTTAAATTTATTTCTG